AATTAACTATTTATAACTATATGTTTGTCTTTTGAAATATCTATGTTTCTATATTAAATTGACAACTGTAATTTATTAACCGGAGATTTATTTATTTATTTTGTGGTCAGTTTAACAATTACAAAGTGAGATCAAATCATCAATCATTAGTAATAGGTGTCTTATCCAGAGTAATCGTATATTTTATTTCTAAAGTAGATTACCAAATAATTATATTAAATATATACTAATCTAAATAAAATTTGTCGATTCCAGCATAACTCAAATGGATAAGACATTCTAAATACAATCTTAAAGGTCGACAATTCCATTTCCTACACAATTTTTGAAGTAAAAGAATAATGTAAAAAGAGCCGTAAATAAATACAATTAATGAAAATCAAATCATTTCAATTCAATGTTATTCCTTTTTCTAGCTAATTACAAATATATTAATATACTAATATTTTTAATTACAATAATAATATTTTTTTAATTTATTTTATTGTTATAGTATTGATAGTAAATATTTTTTACTAATAAATAATTAATAATTAAAATAAAATTAGAATACTTTTTATGTGAACAACTGTCATTTAATATAAAATTTTATTAAATATCATTATTCTAATATTTAATAAGAATGAATTCTATTTAAAAAAAATCTATTGATATTAACCAATAATAATAAAGTAAAATTAAAAGATTAAATATAAATTTATAATATTTTATAATAAAATCATGTATTAGTAATATAAATAAAAAATAAAAAATTAATAAAAAAAAGGTACAGCTTATTAATAGACGAGAGAAAAAAAATACAATTGAGATTATCTTTTGAGACGGTCTACCGTGAATACAATTGGATAAACATCGCTTTAAAAGAAAGTCATCCACTTGGCAAACTGGTTTACATTTATGCAGCAAGAAGATTCATATCGTGGACTATTAAACCTCTCAATACCCAATAACAGAAAAGTTTTGGAATTCCATTTACTGAAGAAATCATAGCTGTTTGGGGGAGAGAATACCCTGGACACGTGGAAGATCCCTATTGGTGCTCCAAGATGACTCATGAGTTATGCCCAGCTCGGACCGCCGAGATCACCACCACTAGCGTTGACAGATGCTAAGTATGAGGGCCGAGGTGAACCCGGCCGAGGTCCGACCTACCGGGAAGCTCGGTAGGGG